TTAACAAGTGGGAGGCACATATGCAAACTGTTGTAATTCCTACACCGTTCACCTGATTTGGATGTAAATACCCTCAAATTAAAGCTGACAGTCTGCAGTTAAAGCACATCTTGTTCGTTTCATTTGAAATCCATTGTGGTGGTGTATAGAGCCAAAAATGTTAGAATCGTGTCGATGTCCCAATATTTATGGACCTGACCGTATGTGTCTTGTTGAGATGTACTGCTTCTCCATTTGCGCCTGTAGTCCTGGTGAAAAGAAATCCATTCTAATAATATAGTCAAAGTCCTTACACCATTTGCCGGACTTTTTCTGCCTGTAGTGTACTACATCAAAAGTTGTGGTCTCAGTAGCAGTGCTCCAGTGAATGTGACCCGGTACCGTTAACTTGAAAAGCACAATGACTCCTTTTTCTGCATTAAAAAAAATAAAAATAAAAAAAAATTTCAAAGTAGATTTAACCTTTTTTCTGTGCGTCACAGGTGAACACTCAAAGAATCAACTTTTCTACATCCAGAAGAGAAGTGGGGGGCATATGTATGTTTGTGTGTCTGTGTGTCAGTGTCAGACACTGTGTATTAAATTATGCATTTTAATATAAACAATCATATTTAGTAATATTTTTTAGCACAAACATGTGAAAAATGTTATTTAATTACACATCATATACGTTCATATCTGGGGTAGTTACAAAAACCACTTTCCCAAGCTCCTATAGTTTTGAAACTGCCTAAATAGCGTTTTCAGCGCCTAAAGAGCACAACAATGTTAGCACACACATCTTTGGTATTAAACCATTATATTAAAGCATATTTGATGAATACTGTCTTTTTAAACAGGAATTTTCATATATTTGACTTTTTTCACTTTATTATTAAATTATGCATTTTAATATAAACAATCATATTTAGTATAATTTTTTTATTATATACATGTGAAAAATGTCATTTATATGCACGCATTCTTGCCTTTGTTATAAAAACCACTTTCCCAAGCTCATATCGCTTTGAAACGCTTTTGAATTATTATTAACTCATGAATTTTAACATACAATCATATCTGGTACCATTTTTTAATCATAAACATGTGTTTAATTTATATGCATATCATGCATGTGCATATTTGTGTTTGTTACAACAGCCACTTTCCCAAGCTCCTATCGCTTTGAAACCGTCTTAATAGCGTTTTCAGCGCCTACAGTGATTTTTGCCAAGACATACTCCTGGATTAACATTGTTTTGTTGTTCCTTGTACAACATTTTATTAACCAATCACTGCCGTCTGATGTCTGAGCCCCAGTAAATTGCAGCAAATTCCCGTGCGCTGGTTCACAAAGTATTGTTACCGTGCATGACCGCTGCAGCACCGATGTGAGTGCGTTTACTTGGTCGTACTGTTTCCAGATCATTTCAGTAATTCTGGATATATTCGCTAATGTTGATTCAGGACCATCGTAAATATGATATTCCTTTATATATTTTTCGCATATTGATCCAGGACCATCAGTGCCATGTTGATCCCGAATCACTGTCACCAAATTGATCCTGGATCATCATAACTGAGCTAGTCCTGGTTAGATTTGCTAATGTTGATCCAGGACTGTCAATGCCATGCTGATCCTGCATCATTATCTCCCTGCTCATCCTGGACAATCATAACTGTTATGCCTGGGTAGATTTGTTAATGTTGATCCAGGACCATTGATGCCATTTTGGTTCTGGAACCTTATAACTGTTTTAATCCTGAGTACCTAATGTTGATCCTGGACCATCATAACTACATTGAGCGACTGACTAACCTTTGTTCCTTATAATCTGCTGATGTTTATTCAGAATAATATGTTTCAGTTATTATTTTTCAATATTCTCATCCTTGACAAATTAGTTTATATTTCACCTGGAAAACATTGTCACCATATCCAATTTGTCACCATCAAGTACACCTTAGGCATCATATCAAAGACATCATAATCAAATTTTAATCCTTTACATGATATAATCCCAAATATGATATTATGGTGCCAGTAGATAAAAATACATTTTTTGTGTGTGCATTTGAGAAATATTCTGTACTGCATAATGGAGTAGTTTATCAGATGGACTGTGGAAAAAAAAGAAAAGAAAAAACAAACAAGACTGAAAAACATAAAACTGAAGACACACATAAACCCAAAGACCAAGAAGAAAAGTATATCACAGAAATAATTAACAAGGTACACAAAAATTCAGGAACATAAATTCTGCTTTTTTCCCCCACCAGTTTAACTATCATTAAGTTTAATGATACATGCATGATACAACTTAATTGCATATATGGTTCACAGACTGTTCTTCAATTGTTGATAAAGTCAGATTCTGGTATCTCTGGGCCATCCTCTTCAACTACCCAGATTGTTTAATTCTAGATTGTTTCCAGAAAATGAAATCCTGTGCTAAGGTACTTGTATTTACATGTTTTGTTTGTTTACGTGTTTTCTCTTTTGCACAAAAAACGAAAGTGGCATTTTTGTCTATAAATTTTCAGTGGCCAAAATGTTGGTGCATATAGTATACGTGTCAGAATATCACACAGTTAAGTTCATATGTACATTAGCAGAGAAAGTGAAAAAAATGTGTGCCGTTTTTTGCAGAGCAACAGAGAAAGAAAGATATGCTCAGGAATGTATTTAAGCTTTTAGGTAGTTGCTGTTTTGATTACATATTGACAATACCTCTTTTCTTTCCACTGCAGAAGACTCACTTTTACAGGGTGGCTAAAAGGTTTTTTTGCAGGATTTTTCTGACTATCAAGAGGTTTGCCTTTACTTTCAGAGGTACTGGGAACCAATCAATCATACATGGGCTGATTATGGATGGTGTTATAAACATGGAGATTCAGAGACCAATAATTTGATTGTAAGGTAATTTCTCTCTGCAAAGCTTAAGGCAAAGTAAGTAGGTTTCCCAGAAGCAGCACAGGTAAAAAGAAAAAAATAATGCCATAAATTGAATATAAATATAATGCAGTGTAATGCCTGGAAAATAAGAACCTTTTCAATTTTTTTTTTTTACAATAAAACATTTTTTAAAAAAAACACAAACACAAATTATGTATTAGAATGTCCTTCCAGATATAATGTTATGACAATAACATGAAATTCCTGTTTTTTTTTTTCAGGTTCTTCCATCAATTGAAATAGCAGTTTTTATCAAGGATAAGAAATTGACATTTGGATGACTTGTCTGATGTGCTCCTTT